CTACCATTTATTATTAGTTAGCTCATGTCTAATTTTCTTAGAGTTCACTGCAGTCCCTGAGGGTTTTACATTCAAGAGTGCTCATTTCTGAGAGATAAAGAAAATAGTCTCTAAAAGTTTCTTGTAGCCTTATTTCTCATCTTACTTAGTGGAAAGGAAGCTCATTATTTTATGGTTTCCCCCTTGCTTCTGTTCAGAAAAATAACCTTCTCAGTTGCCAAAGTTAATTTTTAATCAAAATTGTTAATCAAAAAAGTAAATTTTCATGCTGGGCTCGGTGGCTCAGCCTGTAATCCCAGCACTTTGGGAGGCTGAGGTGAGTGGATTGCCTGAGCCCGCGGGTTCGAGACCCGCCTGGGCAACTTGGTGAGACCTCATCTCTACAATAAATAAAAAAAAAATTAGCCAGGCATGGTAGTGCGCGCCTGTAGTTCCAGCTCCTTGGAAGGCTGAGGCGGAAGGATCTCCGGAGCCCAGCAGGTCAAGGCAGCGGTAGCCAGGAGCGGCCACTGCACTCCAGTCTGGGTGACAGAGTGAGACTCCAACTCAAAAAAAAGAAAAGAAAAAAAGTAAATTTTCCAAGGTGATCTTGAACTGCAGTTTGAAGCTACTTATTTATAATAGAAAAAATGTTAATTATTTGATGTTTTATTAATGTATTTTAGAAGCATTTCTCTATTTTTTAATACTTAAAAAAATTTTTATATAGCCATTATCAAAGAATAAGGGATATATGTATATAATGAGTTGGATGGATCTTCATAATAAATTATTAGAGGAAAAAAGCAAGGAGAGGATGATATTTATATTTTTATATATTAGTATTTTTTACTATGTGTTTATAGTTTTTTAATTAAAAAATTACTTAATAAAGAAAATATGTGTTTAATGGAAAAATGAAATAGATCAGCTGTACAATATATAAAGCAGGTAATTTAAGACATCAATTTGAAAATTTCATTTCATTTTATTTTATTTTATTTTTTTTGAGTTGGAGTCTCACTCTGTCGCCCAGACTGGAGTGCAGTGGCCGCTCCCAGCCTCCGCAGCCTCGACCTGCTGGGCTCCAGCAATCCTTCCACCTCAGCCTTCCAAGTAGCCGGAATTGCAGGCATGTGCTACCGTGCCCGGCTGATTTTTTTTTTATTTATTGTAGAGATGAAGTCTCGCTGCCCAGGCGGGTCTCTAACCCGCGTGCTCAGGCAGTCCACTCACCTCAGCCTCCCAAAGGTGCGGGATTGAAAATTTCATTTTAAACAGCTTCTGGTAACTATAGTTTTCTTGAATAATGTTATTTATTTTACTTTGCTAACTTTTTTGTTTTTGCCCTTGTTGTCCATGTATTTTATGAAAAGCATGATTAAATAGTCATTTGATTATTGAGAATAATTCAGTTTCTTATGGTCTTCCTTATGGTTATAATTTTTAATTCTTCAATCTCTTATACCAGTTGTCTTTCTAGTCAATTGGCAAACTCCATTGATTCTGCCTTCACATTGCCTGTCACATCTGTATATACTCCTTTGCAGAGCTACTGCTGTCACTTTTTGACAGACCATTCACTGTCTATCAAGATGGCAACAGCATCCCATTTTCTGTGTCTCACCCTATCATGTCTACATATTGTTTCATTAATTTTTTTGAAGTTGATTTCTCATCTTGGATCCCCCTGCTCAGATATCTCTTCTAGCATTTAAGGTCTTCTATCTTATCGTCCTAATTTAGCTTTCTAGATAACTTGTCACCACTATATCACTTCCAAAGAGCAATGTGCTCTTCCAAAATATGCTGCAGTAGCTTTCCTCAGCATACTTTTTGTTTATATTGTTCAACACGATCTCTTTCTTATGTCTTATTGCTCTTTTATAGCATTCACATCTGCCTCTGTTTTGGCGTACTGCTGTATATTTTAATACTTTGATTCTAGATTTTAAGCTCTTGGGGGGGTAATGACTATTTTGTGTAATTCAAAGAATCTACCATAATACCTCTATACTGTAAGATTTCAAATGCTAATTGAATTACAAAGCTTTCTTAATTATATAATCATGAAATGCAATAAAACTAAAAGTTTTATTGACTTTGGACAGTAGCCTTCAAATACCATGTGGAATAAAGCCCTACTAAGAACCTGTTTTCTTATAATTTTAAATTATTTATTTATTTATTTTTAATTGTAGTCTCACTCTGTCACCCAGGCATGATCACAGCTCACTGAAGCCTTTACCTCCTGAGATCTTGGACTTGAATGATTCTCTTTCATTGTTGAACTCTTGGACTTGAATGATTCTCTTGTGTTGGCTTCCCAAAGTGCTGGGATTACAGGTGTGAGCCACCGTGCCTAGCCAATTTTAGATTTTTTTTTTTTTTTTTTTTACCTTTAAGTCTGATCTCAGTTAAATGAGGAGTCTTATTTTTAATGCTCAGGGAACTGAGATTCTGCTATTTAATAGTCTCTCCTTATTTGCAGGGATACATTCTAAGACCTCCAGTCGATGCTCAAAATTGTGAATAGTCCTGAACCCTATACATAGTGTATCATATACTATATTTTTTCTTAGAGGTGCATGCCTATGATAAAGTCTAATTTATAAATCAGGCACAGTAAGCTTAACAACAATAACTAACAAATAATAAAGCAGAACCATTGTAAATAAATTTAAATAGAAAAATGAAAAACTTGTATATTGTTTATTTCTGGAATTTTTCATTTAGTATTTTTGGACCATGGTTATCCATGGATAACTGAAGCTGCAGAAAACGAACTACAGATAAGGGGAGACTGTTGTAATTTTATTTAAAGGAGAAAAATAAACCACATACCTAAAAATTGACTTAGCATGGCTGAGAAGCACAGAATAATTATGAAAGGCATTTTAAAAATAGCATAATTGCAAATAAAATTCAATCTTCATAATTGGTTTGAGCATCTGTTGTGTAGTCATTGGTAGAGTAATAACCCCCTTAAATGAACAAAGAAAACAAAAAGTAACTAAAAATTTTCATATCTTGTTGAACTCACCTTTGGTTGACTTTTAAAATAATAGTTCTTATTTTTATGTAATCTTTTGAAGAACTGATTCAATTAACTATATAGAAATTGACATCTATATCTGATTTATAGCCTATGAATAGAGAACTACAGCTTTAAGAAGGATCCCATATTGAATTTACTGTAGCCTCTGTTGCGTTTGCATTTTAAATTTTCACCTAACAGGAAAAATTAGCATTAATTCTTTTACTGGCAAAATTATTTGAAATAAAGTGAAAAAAATTACACATTAGAGTGAAGACCATATTATGAAGCAAATAAAATATTTTATCATTTCATAGAATAAACATTTAATACAAAAGAAAAGCTTTTTAAGTTTCTCATTTTCTCTTTAAATTGAAGTCAGTAGTTACAAACTTACTTGTGACTTGTTTTTGAAAACTGAATTTTTACCGCATAATTATTTTGGTTTGCAATTGCATATTATTTAGCAAAATAAAAAGCTTTCAGAAGTTGTCTGGTAGGTATGATTTTTTTTGTTGTAAATCAGTAGGTGCATTTTTGTATACCTGAAAGATTATCATAAGTAGGCAAAAATGCTTGTTAAATATCTGCTCCAATTTCTTTTTTTTAAATTAATTTATTTATTATAAAGATGTGGGGTACAATTCAGGGTTAGGTATACAAACATTGATCATGCAGGTACCCTGCTCCAATTTCAAGTACAGAAATAATGGCAGTTTAAGGGACACTGTTATATTTGCCATTTATTTTTTATTATGTTTAATTTCTTATTATAGAGGACAAAAAGGCATGAAAGCAGTTTAGGCAAATATATTAGGTATCTCTGTTTTTGTACTGAGTTCTTTGGCATGCTTATAAACCTGAAGAGTAAAAATATTTAAAACATAAAGGAGTTTTAAAAAATATGTAATCTCTAAAAATAGTCTAATTTTTATAAAGATTATAAAATAGGTATTAAAATTTGAAGTTATGCTTGGGAGTCCAAGTATAAAATTCATTTTTTATTTTTACATAATGATATTAGGAGATATTCTGTGCCAAATGTATTTATTGAATGAAATTTCCTATTACCTTTATACATAAAGTGTTAATTTCTTTTTAGAATTTTAAAACATAGGTCTTATTTGTTTATGTTACATTTTGTCAAGCTAAAGCATTTTTAAAATTCCATGAAACAGTAGAAAATAAGGCAGAAGGAAACTGGACCTTTTCCAAGGTTTAACATTATATTAACAATATTATCAGAAGTAAATCACTATTTAGTTTGCCTTGTAACCTCTGTGAATTCTAGGTCTTTAATGATGTTCATTTCTTCAAGGATTAGGGCATTTAGTAAACTGGACTGGGTAAATATCATTTATTTGTATATAAGTGAAATATTAATAACTTTTAAAAATGATTTGCTACTTGGCTTAATGAGTATTGTATTAATGTTAATACTTTATTAATATAGTATATTAATATTGTTACTGCAAATACTATATTGTAATTGGTAGACTAGATAATTATAATGTAGTATTTGCCTATTTTAAGTAACTTATTGCTAATTTTTTGATAGTATTATGAGCACTCATTGATAGAATATTACATTATAACAAATGGAAAATGCTTGTTTGATATGAGATTTCCAATTCTCATAAATTATAGTTAGGGTTAGTAGTTTTATAGTTTTCCAATTTGAATTGAGAACTGAAGAAAAAAATGCTTAAATTTAAATTGTGTGGTGGTGGAGTAGAAAAAATGACAAGACTTATTATTGCTTAATGATTTTCAGAGTGGAAATAGAACTATATTTTGAAATACTTGGGAGCTGTGATTGCGTAGGAACATTGTGTAAATTGTATTACACCAGAGTTGCTGTGCATCTAAAATTAGAAACAGTTGGTTTTGTTAGGTTTTTCTGTAGTAATAAAGTCTTTTTCTTTCCTTCCTGGTATTCAGATTCAAATTGTTAACTTATATTGCACAAAAAGACTGAGCTGAATAAAGTTAGGAAATCAGTTTATTTTACTGCACTGGTTCTTACCAATATACTATATTAATCCACAGCATTTGGCTTAGGTTCAAGCAAAGTGAGAAAGGGAGAAAGAAGCTAGTGCTTCCTTCCCTTTATTGTCAGTTCATTTTATATTATAGGCATACTACCCTTGCTCTTAGAAAATCAATCTTTTTTTCATAGTAAACTTGAATTTTAAAGTTTTTCTATCTTGGTGTGCATATACAGGGTTGTTTTTTTGGTTCACAGATTTTAAAATCCTGACAGAGCCTATGTTTTTTATATTAAAAAAAGAATGTTTCATACATACCTCATTATTTTTGATGCATCAAATATAACAATAGTAGGTACACTCTACTAGGAAATATAACATAGTGGTACAGAAAATCCTCGATTGCTTTTATTAGTTTGAGCCCATAATTTTGGTTTTTATGTTAAAGTGCTATTCCACTTGTCATCGTCTAAATATATTTGTATTATGTGGCTTAGAAACAATATACTTTATTTAAAAAACAAGGATACCTATATCAGTTACATTTTAAAGTTATACACTGTTTTAAGGCTATGTATTTATTCTTTAGAAAATATGACTTACATGAATATCTCCTGATGGACATAATATTGACAAAAGTTACACATGATATTACTTTAACAAACTGCCATGCAACAAATACATTAAGTCATGAAGAAATTGAATATATATGACCTAATCTAATTGACATTCACATTGAAAATTTACAACATAATCAATACTTAAAATGTTTTTTCTTATATTTGGCAGTAATTTCAGTTTTTACAATTTAAATTTAAAACTCTTCTGAATGTGAATTTGGTGAAACTTAGACTTTTCTCTAGTCTGTGACAACCTGAGGTACTAAGCATTTCTCTCTTATTTCACTATCTTCAAAGGTAATATTTTTGTTTCTTTTAGGATCTATCCAAGAGTTGTGTATTACAGCATTATTAGGCATGGGATCAGCTTCCACTATGGAAACAACTCGTTTTTTCATCTTACTTTTCAAGACCTTTTGAAATTTTTGTCTAGTGAATGCATATAATAGAGGGTGAAATATAGTTGTTCCATAAGCCATGACTAGAAAACACAATCTTAATTTTACTAAAAGGTCACTTGGGCCTAAACATAAAATGGTGGTATTTAAAACAGAAATTGGTGTCCAGCAGAGAAGAAATGTAGAAATAATCAGTAAAGACATTCTGAAGACTCTTTTTTGTCTTTCTCGTCGCTCACGGTGTCGTTTCACAGCTCGCCGGAGGGCAATTATGACAGAAACTGAAGTTCTTACACCAAAGACTACATTTCTCCCACCACTGCTTTGTGACATGTCTGTAGTTTCATGTTGTGTGGTTAGAGAAATTGTCTTTTTCTTTCTTGTTTTCTTCTTCTGGCCTGTGGAAAATCTTGTGCCTATTCGAATATTAAGAGCCTGAAGTATTTTGGTATATGTGATTAACATTACTACAACAGTGAAAAAGAATATTGGGATCTGTACTAGCAGGTGGTAATACATTCCCAGTTCAGTGTAGTATTCATTTGTACTGACACATAAAAGTGTCTTGTTTTCCCATGTATTTCCACTTTGAAGACTGAAAAAATTTACCTCAATAAAGGGAATCAGAAAAGAGAAAAAAGAAAAAATCCAGATGGATATCATTAACATTACAGCTCTGCCCATTGTCAGAATTCGGTTTGCAGGTTTTACAGAGATGTCATATCTGTCCAAAGTGATAGCAAAAACGTTGATTGCTGTTGAGACACTTGCAAAAGATACACAAGCCTCATGGAAACAGCAGATGAGAGCAGTGTTACTCTCCAGTGAAAGCAGAAGGATAACTATAGTTAGAGGAATACATCCCACACAAATTATTACATCAAGTACATGAAGATTCATTGTAATAATGTTACTGACAGAGTTGATTAAGTTGGATTTCATGCAGTAAAGTACCAATACGGTGAGATTGCTGCCAAGTCCCAACACAATTTCTAACATAAGAAATCCGGTGAGAGACACTTGAAAGCTTAATGGATATGATAGTGGTTGGTACATATTGGTGTTGATGTCATCAATGTCATCTCGGACTGTAATGTTAGATTCAGACTGCATGTTGATTTCCAGAATGGGAGAAAAACACATTCTTTTGGAGCAGTTGGTTTTTTCCCTAGAAAGTGAAATAGAATACACTATTTGATATTTGACAATTTAAAGGACGTACAAAATATGTTCTTTATTAAAGAAAACACGACTTTTTATTGTGTATTTAGTTTACTTTTTAAGTTTGTAAACTATAGATGGAAATTGTAGAACTAAGGAACATCAAGGTTGCACTGTTTTTTTGTAAAAGAAAATTGTGTTTTCCTTTTGAAGGAATATGGGAATTGTTCCACTGTATTACAGAATTATTTAATATACTAAAGATTTTTCCCCATTTGAATTTTTCAAGCTTATTATTTGAGACAAAATATATTTTGTGTAATAAAACTACCTAGAATACAAAACTAAGTTTAGCTTAGTGTTTTAAAATTTCATTTAAAAATGTTGTGTGTGGGTAAAAAATAATTGCTATTTTAATACTCTAGCATAATGAGTGTAGATGTAATTATTCCTGTGAGATTTCAGTGAACAGGAGTGGTCTTCATTTAAAATGATAAATGATGCAGAACACTAGTTTGTTGTAAACAGCTTTATCTATGTTGATTGGATTTCATATTCAAAAATCAACAATGTGGGGGATATTAGGAGTTATTTCTCACAGAAATAGGTCAGTGATAAGTATTTCATATACACAGTTAAAATGCTCACTGAATGTTACAATTAGCAAATTTATAAAAATTGGAAGAAAATGGCCATTATGCTAAAGTAAAAAGCCACAAATCTTGATAAAAGAGCACTAATCACTCCTATAAATGATTTATTTTGCAACCACACCCTCTTGAATCTTGTAGAAGGAGAAAATTGAAATTTAAGATTATATTCAGAAGTAACCATTTTTGAAGTGTTTTAAAAGAATATATCAATTGATTTTATTTGATTAAACAGAGTTTTTAAAGTAAAAGTGAAATTAGGGGAAAGAATATGAAGTCCATATTTTGAGGACGCTTATAAAGTTACACATTACCTATAAAACGTTTGTATACATCAGCCAGTGTATAATTTTGAAGAAAATTAAAACAAACTCTTTTGCTAATTCATACAAATTTATATTTTAATATATAAGGATTTAGAGTAATTTGTAAAAATAATGGCTAATGTTCTAAGCTAAAATGTCAGTAATCAATATATTCAGTTTAAAGTATGAACTCATACAACCAACTATATTTCACATTTCAAATACAGCATTTCAACTGCAAAATCATTCAAACATAAATCGTAAAAGCTAATTTTCAAAATTCATATTAACCTTTTACTTCATGTTACCTTTGACAAATTTAAGAATACAATTTTACTTATGCATGCTACTTTTGGGATAGTTCAGAAACACAAATTACATTGTTATTTCTTTTGAGTTAGTATAAAGTCTTACTAGAGGCATATTTATTCAAGTAAGTGAAGGCTTAGCTAACACTGACATCCTGTAAAAATGGAACATTTTAAGTGTGCCAGATATTCACAACTGACAGATTATGCGTCAGGTCTTTGTCACATCAGTTAGATTCATAATTAAATAAAGCAGAAATGTCATGTTAGATGATAATTAAGAAAAGTGCATCTCCTCTAGAGCAAGATTCTTTTCTTTTGTAAACATTAAACAGTGTGGTGAGGTGCATGCATCATCTGACCTACCTGTTTGCTGTTGCCTTATGGGCCTTTTGGCTCACTATGGCAGTTTTTCACAAATTGACACATGATGTCATTGACAGATATTTGACATGAATTTTTACCTGACAACAGTGAAGTAGCTGTGTTTTATTTCATGTCTTGTAGGAATTCTTTCTTTTTTTCTCCAGTACTTCAACTGCATGAATTATGAAATTTAGTTGGCTGGTGGATTTCTAAAGAACAGTACATAATGTTTGTGTTTGTTTTGCCTCAAAAAGTCACGATCAAGAGAACCTTCCTCAAATGATAGGAATTATGTTTCCCTTTGAGGAGTATATGATACTGTCTCTTTATTTTCCAGAATATGTGAAAACCGAAAAGGAAACATAAGATTTCTAGCTTGTAAAATGTACTTAGACATCCTTTTGTTACAATTGTATATCTGTTCCTGTAGCAGTCTTCATTATTTTGACATGATTTCTTCCTGATCACGTAAATTGCTTTATATTATAAATCCAGTTGATGTTCTTTTGAAAAAAACCACCTGCTATTTAATTTGGTTTGTTTTCATTAGAAGATGATACATAATTGGTCATAAAACTCAGAAAAATCCATTAGTCATATCAATTGATAAGAATATCTGAATAGTTAGTACAGAAAACACTTGTTAAATCTTTATTTTGCTTGCTGGTAAAGTATGTTCTTTTGGAAATTCATGTTTCATTATTTCTTCAAGAATCAGTAGCTTCCACAATTCTGGTATGTTAAAGTATAAACTTCCCATTTAAAAATGCTCATCATTTTTCTTTTCAGGCTTTTACAGTGATATTATTTTTCTTTTTGTGGTTATTTTATGTAGCATCTTCTTATAATACTGTTGATTTGTTATATTCCAGCAGTAACATGGACCTATTCCCTGGTTTTAACTCCTTCATGTCTTAAAATCATGTGTTTCAAGAATATCTTGCAGTTCACGGTTCAGACAGCTAGGGAGACAGTCAGTCAATTGCATTCTTCATATTGTCAGTTGTAAATACTGAGTTAGTTGCTGTAGGCCCTTGTGAAAAGAAAAAAAATGGTTAATAAATAGGGTTTTTATTAATTTCCAATTACTTGAAAGTAAATTTATTTTTAGCTTTAAAACCATACAGTATTTGTTATCAAAATCATCAAGCTGAATTATTAGACCCATAGCTATATATGAAATTAAGAGTTTCTTTTAAAAAGATTCTCTTTTTCTACTATAGACTGTACTTTAACAGTAGAGTTAACATTTCAAATATAACTGTGAGAGAAAAGCTGTATTTTTAAAAAAACTAATATTTGCTCTCATTTTAGAAGCTAACCTGTATTTTCAGAGGTTATGAACAGTTAGCATACGCTAAGCATATTCTAATTTCTTCTTTGTAATAAATTTAACAACACTTCTTGCTATAGAAATATTGTAGCTTGCTTAATTATTAGCACATGGCTTAAGTTTTAACTTATTAAAACAGATTTCATGATTAGACACTATAAATTTCCATTGAGTAATTGTTCATGTGATTGAATTGTAAAAGGTAATAACAAAAATGAAGCTGCAAATTAAATAATTTTCAATGAACATGCCCAATAATAACACAACATAAAATTAAGTAATAAATAGCAGTTAAATAGTAAATCTGGTTCTTTTAAGAAATATAAGCATTTTTTAAACACCTGAGAAAAACCGTTCTGATTAAGAATATTTAGGACGTCTGAAGTGACTTAAAAGCTGTCTTTGTACTGAATTAAAAAAGAATATTCTTTGTATTTAACAATGCAGCCTAAAAAATTACATTTAAAATATATTGTCTTAAAGAAATAAATCTAAAGAATACATGTTTAGCAATAAGTAGAATTAAACAAACTCTTAAAATTTAGGCTGAAAATTTTCAAAGTAATTTTACCCCACTATGCCGGTTCAAAAGCAGCTGTATACTGTAATAAGGAACACATCTTACCTCCGCTAAAGATTTGATAAATTCTTGATGTAGTTGAAGCGTTTCCAGTTTTGATTGATTCATTTTGTTCACTTGTTAGCAGAGGACTGGGGGAAGAGAGTCATAAACATCTCTTCGAAAATGACCTTAATGAAAATATGTGTCTGTACTGTGCCATTGTTTCAGCAGTACTGCTAATGTATGGAACATGTAGTGCTGCTTAGAGGCTGCTGCAGTCTCTCACTCTTCCTACTGTGGAATCAATAAGCATCTGAAAATACATAATGAAAGTAATTTAACATACTGAAGCCTTCTTGTCTCCAGAGACAACATTTAGATTCAGTCTTTCTAAAAAGGAACGGCACTGCTTTTCAGAGGAAAGCCTGTTCTGGGCAGCTTTTGCAGAATGACAGCCTACCTTGTCGCTTCTCTCCACTGCAGAGGGATGCAGTGCATTCACTAATTTTGATTGGTCAGTTGTATTGGGCTTAAACTGTGCTTCATATGTATAGCAGGAATTCCCCCCCACCACCACTGTTTTATATAAGGGTGCTTTTAAAAAAAGACTGAATTTATAAGTAGCTGTATGTTGTTCTTAAATAGAATATGTGTGAATTAGTATTTTAAAAATGTGTATTCTCTTCTGGTTTGTTGGTCACTTATGCCAAACATTAAAAAATGCAGAAAGGTGGGGGAGCAAGAAAGATTTCCATAGTAAAAATTATATATACTTTTTAAAGCCTTGATAATTGCACTTGAAAATATTTTAGTCGTATATATGTTTTGGGTTGAGATTCTTTGTTCTACAAATAGAAACCACTGCATCTTTACTGTGAGCCACATTGAATTTCAACTAGTTTGTTTGTATTCTAGTCATCTTCTCTGTTATTCCAAAATGTTGTGAACATCTCAAGGTATTAAACATTGTCATGATTTCAGTATTCATTCATTTGGGTTTTCATTCATTCAGAATACTAATCAGATTAATCCACAGAAATTATACCCTAAAATATATTTTTAAAATTTCATTACTAATTCCGTAGTCTCAGTGTATAAAACTTTAATCATTTGCATTACTGTGGAGTACCACTTGGTCTTCACTTTGGTAACCCTTTTATTTGGTAGATGTATACCGATTATTTACTATGATAATATATTCCAATTGACTAGTTCCATTTTTGACCTGGGCACATATTTTTAAAAAATTTTTTTTAGATTCAAAGATACATGTGCAAGTTTGTTACATTGGTTTATTGCGTGCTGGTGAGGTCTGGGCTTTTATTGGGCATGTTACCCAGTGGGTAGTTCTTCACCCCTTGCCCTCTCCCTGCCTTCTCTTTTTAGCAGTGCCCCAGTGTCTGTTGTTCTGAGACCTGGCACATTTCTTAGTGGATTACTATTTTATAAATATTATAGGTAGCTGCATGCTAATGTTGTTGGTAAATACATGTGTTAAAGGATAAAGTAAGATACTTACATGATTTTTATAAATTAAAAAGCTAAATTGTTTTAAGGTTGATATGCTTTCAAAATAATAAAAATAATAGTGTAAGTAATAAATCTAAATATTGATTTAAAATTAAATTTCTATTAATCTTGGCTATTTATAGTTCCTAGTCTAAATATGAGGATGATCTTTTTTAGACTTAAGTATATAAAGTGGTTGGATTCTCTAACTATTGGCAGAATAGAAGGCATTGTATTGTAGATGGCTGAATTGTTAGCATGCTAATTATCAACTATTTCTATTATCTTAGAAATATTTGGGATCTTCATTTTCAAAATATTGCATGCTAAGTTTCTTACTTGCAACTGGAATTATTCTCTTATAATTTTGAAAAGCAATATGCATTTTTGTAGTTTTTTACTGGTAGTGTTTAACCATTTAGAGGAATGACTTTGTAACATAGGAGTTTTGAATTACATTTCTATAGAATTTGAGAGTAATATGGTGGAAAATTTTGCTGTGAATTTCTAAAACTTGCACAGCTTTGGATGGTGAGGGTTTGGTAATGCTAAAAATGAAATTGTTGTTGTGCTGCTATTCATGCATCTTGAAAGTTGGGGAAGAGGATCCTGTTAGAATGCCAGCCACTTTAAAAGATAACAGATAAACACACACAATGTTATTTTAAGCTTAAAACTGAAACCAGAAAAAAAAAACATGTTAACATCAGTTGAAACTTGTGGTGGAGACAAGGAGATTATTAATATAGTAGAAATATATACATAGTGCTTTCCTGCCAAAGAGCTCAAGTATTTGTTCATCTTTATCAAAATATTCCCAAGAAGCAAAAGAGATCAAGGCACAGAGAAAGCTACTAACTTGAAAAAGTCTAGGCAAGTTAGCGTCAGAGTCAGTGTTAAAACTCTGTAAACTCCACCCATTAGTAGTTTGCCCTCTTGCTCTGGAAAATTGTGAAGGTACAACGGGACTTAGAATTAGATGATCTAGGTTTAGTTGCTACTTATTAGAGATATAACTTTTGGTAAATCAGGCTTTCTTTGGGTCACAGTATCGCTTTGATTCTTTTTTGTCAAAGTATTTTTTTGTGTGTGTGCTGTTTAACTCTTTGTGAGATAGCGTTTCAAGTTATATTCAGTTTATTTGAAAAAACAATTCTGGGGTCTCTGTAATCAATAATGGGAGCAAAAAAGTTCAGGTATGGACATCGCTTTTTATTCTCTGTAGGAGTGACTTGTGATTAAGGATACATAAGGTAAAGATATCACAATGTGTACAATGTTTATTTCTTCTTAAAAACTATAAATTGGATTGTTGATTACAGGGTGCAGGGTAATTCTAACTAACCTTGTTTTTAACAGGTGTGCAAATATCTAAACCGTTGATGAGAATGAGATTATATTATATTCATGAAAAAATTAATATCAAATTACATATGTCAGATTTTCCAAAGATTCTTCTGTGTTTCCATAGTAACACAGATTTTTGCACTTAAGCATTTAATATTTTTGTATTCATGTAGGATACTAATTTTGAAAAATGCTACAGTTGGTAATTTAAAACCAAAATATGGGTTGAAATAATTTTATAAGCTAATATTTAATTAATTTATAATCTGGGAAAGCAGTTTGATTTTCCTAATTATAACTAAGCAATAGATATGAGTCTAACCCCCAAATGCAATCTCATTAAAATCTTTTTCAAAAGTTGTGTTTTTCTTTTTAGTTATAAATATTTTAATTGAATATCTATTTTAATTCCAAAAATTTCTGATATGGGGAGTTTCTGATTTTTAATTTTATACATTTGCTTTAAGGGTGATTTTTCACTGGTTACTTAACATAGGAAGCTCTGAACTCTGATACTGGAGCCCATGGAAGAAAGGATTATTTTATTTTAAAGCCAATTCAGAAATTTCATTTGGCTTCTCAGCTTTAAATTTCTTTCACAACAAATGTTTTATCAGAAAAATAGAAATGAACCATCTGCTGAAGCGTTTATCAAGTGGGGAATAGCCAAAGTAGTAGAAAGACAACATAGGTGATTCATTTTCTATAAGAGAATAACTGAAAACATTAAATTGCATAAAGCACATGCATCAGAATTGCATACACTTAACAGAAAATTCCCCTATTCTTTTCCATCCTTCCCTATCTAAGTTGGACTTTTAAAACTTTTCATTTTTATTTTTCACACAGTATTTTTAAGTCATTTTTCAGCATCACGAACATTATAAAAATAAATACATGGCATTTCTTTCAATTTTCTCATCCAAACCTAGACTTTGGATCCTGTGACTATTAGTTTGACCTTTGTCTGTTTTGCTATTGTTGGTGTATCTATGTCTACTTTGGGACCTTGTCCAAATTATTACTCCCACCGCCAGTGTCCTGGCTTATTCCTTTGACTGGTTAATATCCCTCTTTGCATTCTTAAACATTATGGACGGTGTTGATGTTTTTCTCTTATATCTTAATCAAAGACTTATGCAAATAGCCATGTTTCTGCTTTCCCCCTTTGTTTGCTTTTTCTGTTGCTTTCTTTTCTTTGTGTAATTCTGCTCTAAGTTATTGTACAGAATCAAATTAATTTTGTGTCCCAAGGCTAAGCCAGTTGATCAACTAGATTACATATTTAACAAGGCTATGTCAAGTCTCTTCTTTTGTGCTGTTAGGGGTCTTATGTTGTGATGGAAGACATAACTGAATAGCAGTGTATGATCTAGTGGCTCATTATTGATGTTAGATACATAATGCTTTTGTAAGAAACCTACCATCTTTTATATAGACAGCTAGAGAATGATAGCGTTCCACCGTGGGCTGTACTTCCACTATAAACTAAGTAGCATCCACTATGTTAGGAAAATGGATGCATTTTAAGAATTTACTAATAATTCTTAAAGACTGATCACTGGTAACTTTCTGCTAGATATATTCAGCAATATATCTTCAGTTACTGCTGCCTTCTGGTCTCTATATAGGGTATGATAGCTATAAAAATTCCTACTGTTATTTTGATTGATATTGCAGAGAATCTGTAGATCAATTTGGAGAGAATTGACATCTTAAACAGTATTGAGTCTTCTAACTTATGAACATGGTGTCTCTATTATTTTAAGGCTTCTTTGATTTATTTTTCAGTTTTTATAGTTCTTAGTCTATAGATTCTGCACATATTTTGTTAGATTTGTATTTTATTATTTCATTTCTTCCCCCCAGCCCCTACCCTATTTCATTTCTTTAGTGCTATTGCGGTAGCACTCTTTTATAGATCCCAACTGTTTATTGTTAGTATATATAGATATGATTGGTTTTTGTATATAGACAATGTTGTCAGCAAATAGAGATAGTTTACTTTTTCCTGAAACATGTGTGACATATTTATTTGTTTGCCTTCTACTACTATTTGGGATCTTTGGTGGTTGAATAGCAGTGTGTTGGGAGAAGCAATTCACCATGTGTCCTGAGTTTCCTTGAATGTTCTTGCTGTGGTATGCCAAGAGGGCAAAGCCCTGACTACTCTTTACTTGGTCCATTTCTCAGGGTTGTATTTGTAGCTAGCAATCTTGAGGAGTGAAATAATGATTCCCCATACAAAGAGCATGCAAGCAGACTTGCTTCTGCTTGCTATAAAAATGGCAACCTGCCCAAGCTCAGCGTTCTTCAGCAGTAATGGAATGCTCCAGTATACAGAGCATAGAGCATCCACTTACACCCTGCCAGGTGTACTTGAAGGGCAAGGTGAACTGTCACTGACATGATACTCGTACTGCTTGCTGTATCATGGTAATAAAATTCTTTATTTCTGACTCAGGCATCTTATATCTTTGGTTAGCATCTGTGAAATAGTAACAGCCTAGCTTCATAGTTTATAAGTAGGGCAAAATCCCAGACCCTTAACAATTTGTAACATTTTTGGCTTCAAGGATATGATGTTGACAGAGACATTACTTCTTGGAGGAGGAAGGACAGGGCCCTTGTGGGCT